GAAAATTGAGAAATGAATTAGGGTTAAGGTTAAATGTAAGTAGGGGAATGAATTGGGTTAATTTTTATGGATTGGGTTGGGTTAGGTAAAATTGGATTAAGTTTAATTTTGATTGAATTGAGTTTGAACTTGAGTTTGGGTTTGGGTTTGGGTTTGGGTTTGGGTTTGGGTTTGGGTTTGGGTTTGGATTTGAGTTTAAGTTTGAAAGATGAATTAAATTTAAAATAAAATTAATTTATATTTATTTTAATTTTTGCGGGGATGGGGATCTTCGCGGGGCCCCACGGGGAGGGAAAAATTCCCCGCAAAATTTCGCGAGGAGAAAATGCTCCCCATCCCCGCCCCACGGGGAGGAATATTCTTCCCCGCCCCGTCCCCGTGACGGGGATCCCCGCAGGGCCCCACGGGGATCGGGGGAAATTGCCATCCCTACGCTGGGAGACTCACCCACCATTTCCAGGTGCGTGACGCGGGTCGGATCCGGATTAGTCGGGGCGAAGCCCCGGATACCAGGCGGAAAAACCAAAAAAAAAAAGAGAGAACAATGAAGCACTTGTAGTTGTGACTACATTGGTAGGATACATTTTGCCATAGACGTTATTATGGTTCAATTTTGGTTTAATACCCAATTTGGTCCCTAAACTTTTATTTTTAAACTTAATTTATCCTTTAACTTCAGAAAGCACCTAAATCATCCTTAAACTTTATTTTTTCATAACCCCAATGGTCCTTCCATCATGGAAGTATATACCTGGCACATTAAGTCTCCACCAATTACCTCTTTTAATTTTCACAAGCTTATGTGGAAAAAACACCACACTGAATTGATGACATGGCAACAAATTCATTCCATAAAGCTATTGGCAACAGTAGAGAGGCCTAATTTTGGTTGGCAACAGGGAGCTCAAACGGACCCTCCACGTTAAATGAATCAAGTCCTGTTTTTGAACTAACTTCCCTAATGAAATCCTCAAAATCAGCACCTCCTTTCTTGAACTTGTTCTAGGAAGCTACTTCATCAAGGAATTTGAAAAGAAAATAACTCTTTCCAAATCAAATCTAGAAGTCAAATCTCCTGTTGATCCCGAATCTGACCTTGCTTACTTGCAATTTGGAGAAGTTAAGTTGGTTGAAATCTCACTTTTGACTTGACGCAATACCCTTCAACACGTCCTAATAAAACAAAGAAGTTGAGATCAAAGGAGGAAGAGGAGGAGGAGGAGGAGGAAGAGGAGGAGGAGGAGGAGGAGGAGGGGTACGTGATGGGTTACAAGAAGGAGAGAGAAAAGGAGATGCGTATCTACAGGATTTGGGTGTTGTTTAGTCAGAGAGGAATGGATGCGAAGATGAGGAATGGGGAGAAGACGAAGATAAAGGGAAGAAAGAGGAAAGGGGAGGATGTCATAGTGCCGAAGATGAACGTCAATGGTAGTGGACCTGTCGTCCTGCGAACCTAAGCAGGGAATCTCACTTCTCTTCCACGGTCATCCAATGTTTCGTAGTCATGGAATGAAATTGTTGCCATGTCTTCAATTGAGTGTGATGTTTTTTCCACATAAACTTATGAAAATTAAAAGAGATAATTGGTGGAGACTTAACATGCAGGTATGTAGTTTTGTGAATGGGAAGACCATTTGGATTACAAAAAAATAAAGTTTAAGGATGATTTGAGTGCTTTCTAAAGTTAAAGGATGAACTAAGTTCAGAAATAAAAAAGTTTAGGGACCAAATTGGGTTAGGGACCAAATTGGGTATTAAACCTTCATTTTTTTATAATGTCATCCTTGCCTTTCTCAATTTTTTTATGTTTAAAAAAGAAAGAGAACAAAGAAAGAAAATATTATTATATATGCTATAATAAGTTTTTCTCTAATCATTATTCGACATGTAAATTATTAAAAGATGTACGATGAGAGTTCTTTTTATTGTTCTTTTCAAAAATAAAATAAAGACAAAATTTTTATATTATTCATGAGAGAGCTTTTAAAAAGGACAAAAACCCATGTTAAGCCCCTCAACTTTTTCAACAGCTAATGATAAGCCCCTAAACTAAAAAAGTGACAGATACCCATGTAAGGAGCAAATTAGCCCCTCCGCTAACGGACTTCGTGACGCCATTTGTCAACGGCTTCCATGGCATTGCACCCGCACGCCTTTGCATGTTTTTTTTTTCCCTTTACTTCATTTGTTTTCAGTAATAATATATTTTTTAAATTAATTAATTAATATTACATCATGGATGATACTATAAGGACAACTTTTTTATCCCACATTTTTATACAACTTTCACATATTATTAAATGAGTTGATTCATTCAATATCACGAGTTCCACATGAATTAAAAGAACCAATCATTTTAATGACACGTCAAGTTGTATCAAAAGATGGTATGAGAAAATTTTTACAAAAAGCATTTCCCTTATATAATGTACATATCCTCAAGTAATTTTTTAATGAAATGATGATATATTTTTTATTTTAATTAATAATCTATTTTACTTCAATAGTCTTTTTTTTTTGTATTAACCTTCTAATATTCGGTAATTACATTGGGTCCCAACTAATTTGAAAATTGAGCCGCGTAGGTTTCCATCAAGAGGAAGCCCTCCTAGCGCTTATTTTTTCATTCATAAGTCTTGAACTCGAAATCTTATTTAAGGAGAGTTAAACTCCTTCTACTCGAATCAATAAGTTGTTGGTACTTTAATAATCTTTATAAATTACTTTTTAAATTTAATTAAATCACTAAATCAATAAAAAAATTTTAACATGTTCTTTATTTTTCTCATTAATTTTTATTTTAATTCAAATTTGGTAGATTTAATTTTTTATTTAGTGTGACTAAATTTAATTATTCACTTTTTATTTTTAAGATATTATTTAATATATTTATTATTATTAACCCTCATTTTAAAAAAATAACTACAACATATATTAAATAAAAAGTTTTATTTAAATGATATTTAATTAGAGATGAATATGAAATTTTATTAATAAATTGTTACATCTTTATTTTATTAGATAAAAAAACTAGATCTATTAAAAATGAAAAGAGGGAATATTGTGAGAGGGTTTATTATGAGAGAGTTTTTTTAATATTTACTCTTAAAATATATATTAAAGATATAGTAAATATATTTTTTATTATAAATTTATATTGAAAGAATAAATGTTGATATTTAATTTATCAACTA